GCGGCTCGGGGAGGAGGGGGGGAATGGGTGGAGAAACGGCGACTTCCGCCTCGGTATGTGTCATGGCGGCGGTCACGTGGCTCCTGAGGGAGCCCGCCCTCCCAGCTGGGTCCCGGCGGCGGCGGTGTCCGGGCGCGGACCGCTTCTCCCCTCCCCTCTTCTCCGCTCCAGCTCCCGGCCGTGCCGCCGCGGGAGGACACCCCCCCCCCGGCGCTAGGTAAGCAGCGGTGCCCCTGTGCAGCGCCGCAGGCGGGTCACCTGTCCGGGAGGGTCGGTGTCGGTGCCGCCGCTGGGCCGCGGGTCGCCGTCCCCTCCCGCTCCCGCCTCTGTTTGTGGCGTCGAGGGGTCCCTACCGGGGGAGGGCTGCGGGGCCTGGCTGTGCCTCCGTCGGCTGTCCCGGGGGGAGACCCCAGCTGCGGGGCGGGGGCTGGCGGCGCCCCGCGAGGAGGGGGGGGGGGGGGGGGGGGGGGGGGGAAGATATAACCGGTGGGAGCGATGCGGTCGGCCCGCCTTACCGCGCGGGACGATGTCATCGGCTCTCCGCTGGCGCTGCCTGCGGCGGCGGGTGTGTGACGTAGCGCCGGGAGCCGGAGCAGGGCCGGGCGGAAGTGGCGGCGGGCCGTTCCCGGCAGGGTCCCGGCGCCTGTGAGGGCCGCCTGCGCCTGACTCGCTGGTGGCGGCGGGGCTCGGGGAGCCGGGCGGCACCGCAGCTACCGCTGTGAAAGGGGCCGCGGGGCGGGCGTCCGTCCGTCCGTCGGTGCGTGCCGCTGAGCGCGCGGCGGGCTTTGGCCAGGCGGCGGCGCGGGCCTGAGGCGGTCGGCAGCGGGCGGGCTCCCGCCGAGCAAACCGCCCTGTGCTCTGTCGGGTGCGGGGGGTAAAGGCGGTTTGGACGCGGAAGATCCCTTGTGAAGTGGCGGCCAAACCGTCCCCTGGCTTGGGAGAGGCCGAGCCGTGCGACAGCACCTGAGCGCCGCGCAGGTGTGTGAAGATGTCGTGATAGGTGCTGGCGGTGAGCAAGTCACCTCCTCCGTCGGGAAGACCCGGACGGTGGCAGGGGGTCGCTGCTTGTCAGATCTTCCTTGGTTTTTTTCAGCGAAGCTGCGAAGTGTTTTATAACGATGGATTTGGAGATCGAAAAAGGATGATGGAGGTCTTGGGGGGGCTGGGGGGGTGTCTGCAGTCCGACGTCCTGCTTGGAGCAGGGTCAGCTCTGAGGTCAGACCGGGGGGCTTAGGGCTTTATCCCCTGAGGTCTTGAAAGCCTTTAAGGATGGAGACCACACAAGCTCTTCGGGCAACTGGTTCCTCAGTTCCACTGTCCTCGCGGTGAAGAAGTTTTTCCTTTTTCTCCAGTACAGACCTCCCTTGTTTCAGCGTGTGCCCATTATGTTTCATTCTCCTGCCGTGCACACTGTTGAAAGCTCATTGGGATGCTCGTGTTATATATGTTTGCTGAAGTTGAGGTGAAAGAAAAAAGATGGTCTGTTTTAGCTGTACTGTACCAAACTTCTATGTCTGTTACATGTGTGTAAATACATCCATGTTTTCAGCAAGGGTTACTAGGTAATTGCAGTTACATCTATATCAACGGTGCCACAATAGAAGCTACTAGTAGGTTGACTAGGCACAATATAATGACCTCAGTGAATTGAGATATACCTGTAAATTACACAGGAAATATTCAGCCTTATGCAGGAGGTAACCACTGTGGGGTTTTTTTGAGTAAGACCGTATGCAGTAGTATAGAGCAAAGTAGGTTATAGCTTTTTGCCCAACTTAAAATAATTGCCTCAGAAAGCATATGTATTTCAAGAGAGTAAAATTGTCAAACTAAGCACATGGATGAGGAAGACAAGGCAATGGAAGCTTAGTGTTTCAAATGGAAAAAAAGAACTCTACTTTCTTCTGTGTAATTATATACAACTTTGTAAAGTAATTTCTTTCCTAATTGTTCACATTTGGAATACATTTTTGTGAGCTGAGGAGCATGACATATATAGCATCTCAATTGTACCTGTTCTTGCAGCTATTCATTTCTTTGCACACCTTAGATTTGGCGTAAACAACACTACAGAAAGAAAATGACCCACTGGTTTCATCGCAACCCTTTGAAGGCTACAGCTCCCGTTTCATTTAATTTTTATGGGGTAGCTACCACTCCAGCTGCAACAAAGGTTTGCAAGTAAGTGTACTGGTGATTAACTTCACTCTGTCTCTCACGGTTTGCAGGACATCCTTAAAGTAATGGTTACTCTTCAATTTTTGTGCTGAACATGACTAGAAAAGTGTAGGCTGGGAGACAATAAGACAGTGATAACACTGAACATTTAGTTACAAAGAATGAATTATCCAGTTTTCAAGTCTCTGAGTGTATAGCAAGGCCTTTTATAATAATGCAGAGGCAAAAGACTAAACATTTCATTGTCTTTCTGATGACTGTGCATTCTTCTGCAAAAGATTACTGAAAGTAATTTCCATAAGTGAATAAGGCATGGATGTTCTATTGTAGATAGGAATATAATGAAAAGAGATCTCAGCTCGTTTTGCAGATCTATTCTTCTCTCTTCATATGCTCATGCCATTCAAATGTTGAAGAATGCTCCTGCTTATTACTTCCCTTCCCTCCCCCTGCACCCAGCCTCTTGGTAGAGAAAGGCATAGTTATTTTAGTTTGTGTTAGAACAAGAGATTGATAATGAGTACTGATTATCCATTCTTGTCTGTCCAAAATGGATTGTACTTTAAACTAAAGAGTCAATCATATGTATCCAGAGGAGAGAGGAAGAATTTTCTGTATTTATTGGCATCTTCCTCATAAAGTACTTTTCCTTGCCTTCAGATTGCTAAGTTGAACGCTTAGCTCCACTTTCTTAGCCAAAAGAGTGGTGGTATACATGTGTGGGTATTTTCTTAATAGTATAGTTTTGGGGAGAACTTCTTAGGTTTATTTTTTCTTTTTTTTCCCCTCCATACAGTGATTTGAGGTTATCTCGAACACGACTGTTGGAGCTGTTTACAGACTCAAGTTGTAATCCAGAAATGATGAAGAATGCAACTGACTTGTACTTCTCACTCTTGCAAGGTAGGAACGTGTATTAACAATACTGCTAATACATCAAGAGGCATGTAATTTGAGTTTTAATGACACTTCTCAGAATGCGTATTGTGCTAATCTTATGTAAAGAAGCTTTGCACTTTTCAGGAAAGAGTATCTTCGTGGGTTCTATGCTTGCTACCAGTCATGGGTACTCGCCAGGCCCTTTCTGCAAGTTTCAGTGTCCTTTGTGACCCTGCTAGTACTAAGTGTTGGCAGACCTGTCCTCTTGCTTTTAACCTCATTCTGCTTCCTGCTGGAGGAGAGAATGTTTCTTTGTCTCTTAGATTGTGGTGAATTGCTCCTTAAGTATAAATTGAGTCTATTAATTAGTTGATAGGAGCCGCTCTTCGGTGTAAACTTCTGGTTTGTCTGATGCTAGATAATAGACTTGTTGCAAGCTTACACTTCTGCTGCTGCTTGTCTTTATATAGGTGCTCGTTAGCATAGTATCTGCATTTTCAGTAGCTGGTCACCTATGATGATGCATTCCCTTGCAGCCTTCTTCCTGCCAATATTTTGATAACTCCCTCTTACCAGTCAAGTCCTCAGACAAGTTTCTTAGGACTGAGTTTTCAGGAATCGGCTGAGTGTGATCTTTCAGTCTGTGTGAAGTGAAGCAGCTCAAGTTGGTTTAGTTCCCTCAGTCCCTGGGAGGGTGTAAGCTAATGTGCCATTCTAGATAAAGGTAAAATAACAGTCCATGTTGCTACAGACAAGATTTGGAGAGTTTCTTCAGGAAAGCATCATGCTTGGTCACTAAAAACTTCAGCATGTGAAAGGAACAAGTATTTTCTGTCTTTGTAAACACATGACAGCACCTAGAGCTGTAGCCTCAATAGTTGCTGTTGCAAGTCTTGAGTTCTTGAAGTCTGTAAGACCTGATCAGACCAAGACCCGTCTTACTACTCCCTGAAAAATTCCTTGGGCCTGCATATACTAGGATGTGAACATCCCATAGCATGAGCTTCATCCCATGGACTGCTGCTTTCTGGGCTGCTGGACTTAAAGAACCCATTTCCTGTAGCCCGGGAGACAAAAGAGATCATGACTAGGTGAGTCCATGCTTATAAGCCTTTTCCCTCTCCCTGTTGACCAGGCAGCTTTTCCTGGTATTTCTTGATCACCACTATGGTGGCAGGGCAGTCACTCAATCACCTTGAGCAGCCTCAGCCATCCCGTACCTGGGTCACTCCAACTCCCAACTAGTCACCGTCTGGGACATGCAGACATCTGCAAGGTTTTCCTTGAGCAATCAAGACTCACAGGGTTGACTTGGTAACCTGCTGGGCACGGACTTTCTTGTAGTAGCCACTATGTTTTTTTGCGCATCTTGTTCTCAAGATATTGAGAAATAAAAGCCTCAGGAAGTAACACAGGTTTTTGAGTGTTACAGCAAGAAACATTCCTTTATTCTATATCTGTATTCTCATTGATCCCCATTCCTTCATTACTTGTTTCTGTTTCTTACTTTGAGATTGCCTTTCGGTACATTTTTATATTCTATAGGTTTTATCCTCTCACTGGATGACTCTTCCCAAGAATGCAAGTTGAGATATATTCAGAATTTCAAGTGGACAGACACATTACAAGGACAAGTTCCAAGGTACGTATGCCTTTATGATTACAGAGTATGCAGCTGTTTTCTTCTGGTCTGTTACGTATATGTACGTGTGCCAGCCGGGTGTGAAGCAAAACTTAGAAGTGTAGCAAAATGTTGAAGACAAAGTAGTTTCCAAAAACTTGTTGCTTTGCGTTTTTGATAATTGCAGTACTGTATTAAGTGTTCTGAAGCATGTGTTGCCTTTATGTGAAGGCAAGTGATAATGGTAGAAGGATCCATTGTGTCTTAGTTATCTACAGACTGTATCTACAGTTGGCTAGAGCAGTACAAAGAAGAACTTTGAGAGTATTGGTGAATTGAATATGATAACATAGATTACTACAGTTTAAAACTTTTAAATTTGGCCCTATTGCCTGACCAGTATCTTCTCCATTTTTTTGAAATACAAATGTTGCTGAAGATCTGATTTTGTTCTTGTCCTCTGAAGCTCAAAGTACATGTACTCCTGGTACAAACAAACAGAGCTTCCATTTTAAGTAGGAATATAGATCTGTAACCTTCTGGATTATTCAGTTGTCTCTTGCTATTGTAGGTAATTGTGTTGTATAACCACGCTTACAAATTTGTCAAGCTTTGTCTAGAAGTGACTTGATTTCCTTGAAGCTTTTATTCCCCTTGGAAGACAATCTGTTGATTAGGACTCTTTTCCAATTTTTTCATGGTCATACACACTTGTACTTGTGCCAACATTATTCTTCCCACTCCCACACCTTTCTTTTTAAAGTTCCTAAGCTATACTGAGCTTGTGATTGCAAATTCACTCTTTTCAAAGACCGTGGGTTTAGCTTCTGAAATTTCCTGCTATTTGCACATGCCATTTGACGGCAGTTACATAAATACTTGCAATAACATTCATTTGAGGGACATGTAATAGACTCTGACTTATTAACTTAGCAGCTACAACTTTAAAGTAGGTATTCCAGAGCAAGGCTTTCCACAAAATGTGCAATTTAAAAAAAAAAAAAAAAAAGGAAAAATGTCAGCCACACCCAAAGCTAAACAAATCTCAAGTTACTGTTTTAAAATAAAAGTTCCCAAATGGGAAGGGTAGGCATCTGAATGTGGGAAATTATAATTCTGAGCTCTTAAAGGGAATAAGTAAAAATTGAAGTCCCTTTTAGGCAGTTCAGCAAGTAAGAGGTTCTGAATTGGAAATTGTTGACTTCTTAAATGAAAAATATTTTATGGAGAGAAATGTTGACTTATACTATGTGAACTATCAGCAGACAGAGCTTGTCAGAACAAAATGGAAAGCATTAAATTGTTTGGGGGTTTTTTGGGGGGGGGTTTGTCTGTCTGTCTTTAGTGCTCAGCAGGATGCAGTGTTTGAACTGGTTTCCATGGGATTTAATGTGGCTCTGTGGTACACAAAATACGCATCAAGACTCGCTGGAAAAGAAGAGTAAGTGTTTTTCTTTTCTTAGGAATCCATTGCAGCAATATTCCACCAAAAAAATAAGCAGGTTCTGAGTTTTGACTGCCGTAGTGTATGTCCAGCTAAGACTAGGAGTTCAAGGAGGCAGTTGGCCTTCATTCAAGTGCTGTAATGTCCAAGTGCACTTCAGTCCCTTCCTGCACCTGTGAACAAAGTGTACTAGTACCATGTGACTGTGGTATAGAGAAAGCGTCAATTGTGAATAAACCTTTCATCAGTCCTGCTCTAAATGAGCAGGTAAAAAACTGAGTTTCTCAAAATCACAGCTCTGCTGACTTTTAGCCCTGGAGATTTCTGAAGCTTTGACTTTTAATGCTGATGTTAACATTTCTTTTTTTCAAGTGAATTCTATTTGATTATTTAATGATTGGATGCTGTAAGAAATTTCTTTACCATGAGGGTAGCACAGCAGTGGGACAAGTTACTTAGAGAATTAGTGGACTCCCCATTCCTGAAGGATTCAAGATTCATCTAGACAAAGCCATAACTGACCCTATCTACTGTTGTCAATAGTCCTGCTCCAGAGCAGAAGGTGGGGCTAAATGACACCTAGTCCTTCCTAACTAAAATTTCATTGATTCATCCTCTATTCTTAGTATAACAGAAGATGAAGCAAAAGACGTTCACAGAAGTCTGAAGATAGCAGCTGGGATTTTTAAACACTTAAAGGTAGAAAAACTGTCTCTGCTGTCTGTTCTTTAAGTAGTCTCCAAGTACTTGACTTTTTGTCTTAGAAAAGCCTTTGCTTTTCTGACGATGCTACGGAATAAACAAATACTTCAGACTATCTGAATGATACAGGAAGAAGAAGAGTATTAGTATGTTGTGCTACCACCCAATTGCTGCTGCTCTTTCCCAATGGCAGTGGAAGAGTAATCTGTTTGTCTGCCCAGTAGCACATGCAAGAGTGCAGCAAGCCGTCTTGGGACCTTCACTCATTGTCCCATCCATTTAGGAATAAGGGACTTGCTTTGCATGGGCAGCAGTGGTATTAAGCCTAAACTAACTTTGAGACTTGCTTTGTACTTAGGAGAGTCACATTCCAAAATTGATTACACCTGTAGAAAAGGGAAGAGATTTAGAAGCTCGACTTATAGACTCTTACATCATACAGTGCCAAGCTGAAGCTCAAGAAGGTATCTTCAAATATAAGTTTGTTGGGGATGGGAAATGACAGTCTTTGTGGGTTACTTTGATGTCTTGTGAAGTCTGCTTAGCAGCAATGCCATTTTTTTTCTTCTCCTGAAGTACTGTGGGTTAGTGGGATGGGTTGATTTTAAAGAAACTTAAGTTACAATTACAGGAGGAAAATGCCAAAAAACAGTCTGATATTGCAAATGTAACCACTTTGGACGAACTTGCGTGTGACATTCCTCCTCTCTTCTTTTTTCCTTTCATGCAGTCACTTCACCACTATGCTTGCCTAACATAAATTCCCAGTTCCTTTACTTTAAAATATTTACAGTTTCTGTTTACAGCTAGTCTTCAGAATAACCTTCCTTCAGCTTTCCTCTTAATTTGGAATCATTCTATCCAAGAAACAATCTGTCTTTATTCTGCAGTTTGCTGGACTGCACAATACTTGTTTTCTGCTCTTGCAGGGGTTTTAAAATGCTAAATGCCTCTGCTGATTTGATGTGACATTTTCAATTAAACTTTAATACTGTGGTGTGGAATTTTTTTTCAGTGACAATTGCTCGGGCTATTGAGCTGAAACACAATCCAGGACTAATAGCTGCCCTTGCTTATGAAACAGCTAACTTTTACCAAAAAGCTGGTAAGTGTCTTGTTCTGTGTCCTTAGTGACCTGGTTTATGCATTCTTGCCAGCAGACGTACTTCACCTGCCTGTCAATTGTGATATTAACGTTGTTTCCCAGTGGATATGCTTTGTATTTTTAGCTTCTATTTAGCGCATTAAGGCTTCAGTTATCAGCGTAACAAATATATTTTGATAAGGCCTTTTGTTTTTGTGGGAATCTTTTTCTGTAGCTAATGGTAGGAAGTATTAGTGAGGGGAGACAGAAGATGGAGTAATGTCTTGAGAGTATCTAATAGCAGCAAACAAATGGCTTGAGGTAGATGGAGTGTTTCAACTGCCTTTGGGCAGTAGATTATGATGCAGATGGTAAAGCATGTAGCGGATGAGTAAGCTGATCAGTGGTCTTACTGAGGCAAGTGGGAAAAGTGCCAAAATATGGGAGTCAATGTAAGAGATGGAATATTGTAACATACGTAGGCTTTTATACATCACTACTTGAAATTAAACTAGGAACAAGCTTTGAAATGCTGCCTAAAGAAACTTTGGAGAAAAATACTTCCAAACTTAGTGGACAGCAGTTTCAGGGATTCTAGGGATAACTGCATGATAACTCAATAAACTGCATAATTTTTGTTTTTTTCTCATAGTTTCTCTGTGCCTTTGCAGGAGTAATTTATGTCACTTGTTTCTGGCTACTTTATAGTTAAAATCTATTGCTAAGTTTAAGAATTCTGGTCTTTTGAGTGTGTGTGGCATTTTTCTCTTTGGATAGGTCGTAAAGAATAACTTTACATATGTGTTCATAGATCAAACATTATCCACTTTGGATCCAACCTATGCAGGTAAATGGAGGAAGTACTTAAACTTGAAGACCTGTTTCTATATGGCCTATGTAAGTACTTCAGCTGACAGCAGTCACAGTTTTTAATGTTGTCTAAGGGCTGGATAGGGAATGGGGGCTAAGTATTGCCTTGACTTTCTTTCCATGCTGTGAAGAGAGACTGTGCAGTGTCAGTGGCATTTCAAGTGTTTTTGTTGAGCCACGTGAAATTACTGCAGTGTGGAATTTATTGTGATCACATATCGTTAAGTGAAGCAGTTCAGGTTGAGCATAATACTTGTTTTCCATTATCTGCATTACAATCTGATTCTAGGCATAATTCAGGCCTGATCATCTTTTTGAAGGCCCTGAATGAAACTGCATCAAGTAATGTTAGGTACCATTCCGAGTGCTGTCCCTTTTTGTGTGACTCTCTTAGCAAGTGCAGTGGTGCTCTTGGGATCATCAGCTGCTCAGTTTGCTGTTTATTTCTTGTAGCCTGCCACAGCCTGTAATCTGGCTCTTTCATACTGTAAAAAAGGCCCGAACTAAGCAGTTAACACAATTGTCTTTCTCTTATGTTAAACTTGTAGCTAAAAGCTGCATGCCTTATTAGCAAGTTTGAGAGGTGAGGTAGGGTCAGAGCTGTGGTACTTTTTTTTAATTTGTGTAATATGGGCAATGGTAGATTTAGTTAACACTTGCGATACCATGAGAACAGACATTAAAGGAAGGTATGGAAGGTAGGCATTAGTTCATGGGATTGTTCCTTTACCTGTGGTATTTGGTATTTAAACTCAACAACTTCTGATAATAGAAAAGAGGCAATTCAGTTCTCACTGGAATACAGTATTATCTTCAGGCATAAGTGTGAAGGAATGGGACCTTTTGGGGTGGAAAAGTTATTTGTACTGTGGCAAAATATCTCAAGCAGCAGAACACCTCATCTCTTCTGGATTCAGTGACATTTGTTGCAGATTTGGTTTTTGAGTGTTCAGGCAGTTTTAGTTTTTAGAGTATTTGCTTTGTAAACTTGACTGGGGTTCATCCTCTTTCTGTGGTGGGGCTTAATGCTGCACATTGATACAGAGAGGGAGAGGTTTGAACTAAACTATATACTAGTGCTTTTGGTAAAACAGCCTTCATGAAGCTCAGAGTTACTCTTGGCTAGACTTGAGACAGCTTGCTTCGTACGTACCTCATGCTGTTTATGTTGAACTGCATTATTCAGTGAATGCTGCTTTGACTTGCATTCCCAAATTGTCAGCTATCTGCAAGGAATGGAAGCTTCAAAGAGACACAATTCTCATGTAAGGAAGAGAAGTAGTGAATTGGTACAGGAAGTGCCCAATGATGTTGGTAATGATTTTGTCCTCTCCCATTAGGCATACTGTTACCATGGTCAAACTTTACTGGCAAGTGATAAATGTGGGGAAGCAATCAGGTCTCTGCAGGAATCAGAAAAATGTAAGTGTGATTGAGACTGGATTACAGGGTCTGATGATGACATGCCTGTTTTATTTTGCTGTATTGTCTTTACTTGGTCTCCCATAAACTTAAGATTTTATCTGTCACCTGATGAAAACCCAGCATACTTTTGAGTAGAGACAGTAGATTCTTTTTTTGTATTGCCAAAGACTGTCTTTCATAACAGTGCTGCAGAAAATTTCATCTTCAATTCTCAGCCTGTTAAAGACTGGCTTTGAACTGCCTGCAATACGGTGTAAAAATCAATTGTCTGGTCATCACGTTTTCTCGTCTGTATGTTAAGTAACCACAGCCTTTTCTGCTTTGGAGGTTGTTCTGTCTTACATTAAATAGTAAATCTAGACTATGTTTGTTTTTAAACAGGTTTCAGTAACTTTCTTTCTGTTCATTTGAAAGGTAGATTAAGGGAAGTTTGCAGTAGTTCAGGGTCTTCTGGCTATCCTTCTTTCTTCAAAGCTATTGCTACCCCAGTGGCCTGCACTGCATAACTTTACCACAATGTATAAAAAAATGCTCAAATCATCAAATTGGAAGCTTTTAATATTAATTTTAAAAATAAATGAATTTATTAAGAACAAACTAAGTTGGATTACTTGCAGTCGAACAAATACTGTGATTTTTACTGTGCCTGCTCTTCAGAGAAGAGTGCTTCTTTTCCCATTCCATATTAAGTGTTGTTTATTTTGGGACATCAACTGTGCATGGACACCTTCATACTCTCTCTTTTTCTCAACTATGTGGCACAGTTCTTGGGCTTATTGTTACGTTTTGCCTCACACACAAGAATGCTTTCCTGTGTCTTCCTACCCAAAAAGGTATCTTTTTTTTTTTTTTTTTCTCTCTTCCTAGTTTCTTTTTGGATGCAGTAAATCTTGGCTGGAAGTGCTGCCTTTGAGCTAGTTTATTTTTGTTTCTAAGAAGCAAGAAGCCTGAATGGATTCTGGTATCTCTTAATACTGAAGCACTGTAGATCAGAACCATGATGTAATAGTCACATAAGTGATTTTTATTGCGTTTCTTTCTTGCAAAGTTTTTGCCAAGGCCGAAGCATTGTGCAAAGAATATGGAGAAACCAAAGGGCCCGGGACTACTGCCAAACCTTCTGGACATCTCTTCTTTAGGAAATTAGGAAGTTTGATTAAGAACACACTAGAAAAATGCCAGAGAGAGAATGGATTCATGTAAGTAATTCGTGGTTGGTACAGTACTCTGTATGAACTGTTATTACCTCATTTGCCTTTATTTCAAGATGGGATGGTAAATTTTACTCTCCAGTTCTTAAATTCCTTTAGGGCATAGCATGTAACTTAAATTTGCAATTCTGTAATTTTCTCTTAGCACAGACCCATAGCGAATCTGCTATCACCCTGTCTGTGTTCTGTGCCAGTTCAGCAGGGTAGGTTGGACTGACATGCTGGAGAGGTTAAGCAGGTTTCTTCCTTCATTCCTCAGCCACTTTGTTTCTTTTCCTTCTGTGCCAGAGAAAGTCCTGCAGAGGTTGCTGTGTTATTCTAATGCTCTCTTCCTGGCTGCTGGGATCTAGTAGGCAGAAGAGGACACAGGGGAAATGGAGAAGACTGGTAGCTGATTCTGCATTGCTAGCAGGGAAGTCAAGACACAGTCATACCTTCAGTGAAGAATATGCTTAGGGTGCTAGGAGCTTTACCAGTCTAAGTATAATTAATATTGTGAATAGGGCTTTCTGTTAGTTAATGCCCCTTCCAAAAAGAGTTTGGCAGCAGTTTAAAATAGCAAGATTAGTTTGGCTTTAGAATTCTTTTGCTCATTTCTTTCTCACCTCCCCTCCTCTTACAATTTACTATTGCATAATAGGTTTGTTATTTCCCTTTTTTATGATATTTGAAGACCTGCATAATAGGGGAATTGACAAAACAAAAAGGATTGTCAAGAACATCAAGTTGAACTGCAAATAGGAGGAGAAATTCTCTACTCTGCTTTGGTTCCAAAAACTGTTGTCATAGCTTACAACAACAGCATACAGGAGATTTCAACAAATTCATGTCCCTCTAGAAACAAAATGTGAAATAGAAACCAGATAACCAGTGACTGTTTTGGGAGATGTGCCTCCTGCAGAGCTCTGCTGCGGCACAGGAAATAAGGTAGCGTGTGTCAGTATTTGTCAGTTTTCAGCTCTTGTTGGATTGCCAAGGGTAGTTTTATACCTTCATTCAGGCTTTGTGTTGTAGCAAGTCTTTGTGGGTGTTGCAGTGTTGTTGGTATTATGCACTGTGGCACATTAAGACTGATTTAGGAAAAGAACTGTCCTCTTCACCTTTCTTGGGAAGTATTTTAAATCCTAATTTGGATTTTGAAGGTCTTTTTGGACAAAAGGTGCTCTTCTCATTGAAGCGCTGGGAATAACGGTTATCAAGTAGGAAAAAACCCACATAGCTGTTAGGGAATGAACAATACCAAGAAGGAATTGCTTTTTTTCTTGTGAATCTTGCTGACAGAATGCATGTCGGATGGTGCCTTAATGAAATGGGAGAGAGCAGCACTGATTGCCACTGTAAAAAAACAGATTGTTTTTCTTTAGAATTGCAAACAAGACTTGCAGAGATAGTGCCATGTGTTTTAAATACATTGCTATATTCTGTTACAGCTATTTTCAAAAGGTGCCAGCAGAGGCTCCCCAGCTGGAACTGAAAGCAAACTATGGCTTAGTAGAGCCTGTTCCTTTTGAATTTCCTGCCTTGAACGCACACTGGACTCCTGAAACACTTGCAGCATTTGATCTCACCAAGAGGCCAAAGGATGACACTGTAAGCTGATCTTACATACTGTTCTTTCCCATTATCTTTATTCTATGTATAATACAGTTACTATTTTGCTCTTCTGGAATGTTCCTCAGCTCAATGCAAGATGTGGACACGAGGCTACCACCCGAGCTCACATTTCCACTCTGCCAAGAGGCAAGTCAGTTAACCTCTCTGCCACACTGTCAGCATCTGGAAATTAGGAGCAATTATTTTCTAAGTCCTGAATAGAAGGAAATTCTTTAATGTGTATAAGATGCTGAAATGTTACAGGATTGAATGCGATAGAAAGATTGTTTTTTTAGAAAAGGATTCATTTAAGGATGCTGAAATAGAGAATATTTGGTTTTTTCCCCCTTGCTTGAGGCTTGCTCAGAGACTTCAGCCTTGAAAAGAGAGGGGACTATTAGATTAGAGTATGTAAAGCCAGCTGTGCATAAACACTGTGCAGACACAGTGGTTTGTACTTGTGGTATTTAGGGTTTTTTCTTCTTGTTTGCAGGCTAAACCAAAACCAGATGAAGAAGTAAAACCTCTGAAGGAACCAGATATAAAGCCTCAAAAAGACACTGGATGCCAGATTTCTTAAGTGCCATAAGTGCTTTGAATTCACTTTGAAACTGTATTAATTGGACTCTGGGGCTTTAGTTCTGATCTCCCTTTTTCTGATTCTTCTTTTTTAATTTAGAAGACTAATTTAATTTACTTTTGTTAGTATGTGTTTATCTCGAGAATGTGATGGATTTCTAAGAGTTTATTTATATCTGACTTATTTTTGGTTTTAGTGGGATATTATAGAATGAGTGGGCTTAAGTGTTCCTATTGTGCCTCTAGAGAGTTTCTTTTTGTGGGTTTAGTTTCTACCCACAAATAGCAAAGGAAGTATCATGACTGTAACACTTGAGGATTTTTCCATTAAATTATACGCTATCAGGTTATATCATTCAGGCCTAACACCCTGTCGTGTTCGATTCACTTAATCGTAGTGAGCGAAGAAAATCTCAGTTTGGTGTGTAACACTCCTATGGTATTTCACAGAACTTGGAAAACCTTAAGTTCACCATAACTAGAGCACAATTTATATTCTTCTGAAACAATTAGCTTCTGTTCTTTCCTCTATAGATTAGGGCTCTTGTATGAAAATTTGTATAGTAAGGTACTTTAGCTTGCCTGTCCTTAAATTAAAATCCTTTAATATCAAAGTGTACATGAAAGTGATGCAGCAAGTAATATGAAAGTGCTTAAAAGTAATGCATCACAGTGTCATTCATTCAAAGTTTTTGAACCTTGAAAGATTTCGTGAGTTTGAAAGCTGCAGGCAGTTAAAACCTCCTGGCAGTAGAATTCATGAAGTTGTCAGGCATAAGGTAATGGAATTGTAACTAGGATGCTGTGTTTCCATCTGGGTAGCGTCTATAAGAAACTGTTAGGAGAACAGGGAGGAAAGATGAGCTGAAGAGCTGATGGCAGAACTGGGAAACCAAGCTCTAGGTTTCCTTTATGCCATATGTAAACAGTGCTATTTCTCAGCTTTTGCAGTATTGTACTGAAATCAGCTCCTTATGAAGAGAACTTGCCAAAAGCCAAGCCCAGTCAAGACTGAGAAAGTATTTTGTAGAACGTACTTCTTCCATTTCTGCCTACTGTGGAAAATGTGATAACATTGCTGAGCATTGCTGAGCACTGCAAAACACCCATGTCAACAAAACCATAGCTTTCTGATTTGCAGCAAATGCAAAAGAATATGATGCATGTGTTGAAGTGAGGGCCTTGCAATCTCTGGGTACCAGTTGCTGCACTTCACTTTACCTGAGAAAAAAAATGAACAGCCTGAAAACATTCCCGTTTCAACAAAACATGATGGCATATGCGCTTATCATGATGTATACTGTAAACACATTCCTCACTTTGTACTGTTTGAATTGGTTCATCTTCTGCTGTGGTGTAATTCAGTGCTTCTGTTTGAAATCTTTCATGGGACTGAATAGGAAACTCAAGACTCTTCCTGAGATACTGGACCAAACTACAGAATTCACTGCTGCAAACGGCAAAGAGGGTCTTCATGCTAGCTGTCATGGGTGAATCAAATGCGGAACTCATTGCTTCCAGTGATGGATTTTTCATTCAGTGAGTTCTGCACACAAAAATAAGTCTAAAGGCAGCTGAATTGCTTTGGAAGATATTTCTGTTCTGCAAGGGCTTAGGTGGGTAGAGGATAATGAGTATCAAGAAGAATTTATATCTAAAATTGGTCTATTTCTTTTGATGCTGCACAGGGGCCTGGGGTATGTTTTATGAAGAATTACTCAGATCTGTTCATAACTTGATCAACTGACTTTTTAGACTTCTTGCATTAAGACCAGCTTAGGTTTTGCCAGAATGGAGTGTTGAGCTACTTTGCTTATACAGATTTTAATTCTAAAATTTTACTGCAGCTGTAGTCACCTACATTTGCATAGCCTACCCTCTTTAAGGATCAAGATGCAGTTAACTCAGTTTCATAATCATGATTTTTTAGTTACTCATCGTTTTTCAGATGCCTATGTGTGTTAATACATACACGTCTCAACCTAATTAATTTTTCTTCCTATGCAGACTAGATTCCATTTTCCCTTGTCCCCTCATTTTCCCTTCCATCTGCTACACACTGTGGCACAAACATACCCTTGTTTGCTAATGCACGTGTAGGTCCTGGGACTCATTTCCAATGAGGCTTTTGCCCATGGGTGTATTTCAATATACAAATATGTTAAAATAAAATGAACAGATCATGACTAAATCATTCCCAAACAACCTCTTAGGAAAGATTATTTTATGGACTTGCAATTCTTTGGACGCTTTCTCAAACCAAGTGGTTTGTTTGAATCAAGTTCACTGTAAATAGTTTGGGGCATAACCAAGTGGATTGTGTCAGATTACAACATTACTTAAGTCTAGCTGTGTAACTTTTTATGCCATAGCTGTTTCAGTAAATATGATGTAGTAGTTTAAAAATAGACTAATGGAAAAAACTAATTCACTTAACATGTGTTGCTTTTCAAGACAAACTTTGTTTACTTGTAGCTAAAAGCCTATGGCAAACATTGGATAGTTTTGCCCAAAAATAAGAAACTGAGACTATTTAGTTTGCAAGGTATGGAGAGCTATGAGTCAGAGCAGTTTTCTCTTTTGGTTTTGTTGGGTAGTAGCAAGAATTATTGTAAATAATACATAGATTAACTGTCCGATATGCTTAAGAATATGGGTGAATTGACAGAGTTTCAATTAATCTGTAAACCTAGCAGCCACATTCCTTCTATTATGATTTCCTTTAGTAATTTTTAAGACTGAGGTATTTTGAGTGATGACTTTTTAATACTCTAATGCGGCAAGAGCCTGTTTTTGTGGCCTCTCTCTGGTTTTAGAGGCTCTCATGGCTAAACCTGCAAATCTTGTTGGTGTAAATAGTCTTTAAAAATTTGTCCCCAGTCTGAACTAGGACAAAACTGCAGCTAAATAAAACATGGAGTGCTGGGCCCTCTATTTTGTGCTTTTAAAAATGCAGTGATTGTCTTTAATCTACTATAAAACAAACCATTAAGCTCTTTGTAAGATTCCTATTTAAATACCTTCCTCCATGTATTTAAATGCACTTCTCCATGTTTCGTGTTCCTGGGTTTACAGTAGTTAACTTCCATCCAGCATGTGACACTCCTACAACCGAGGGACTAAATTTGGCCCTTGGATGCTGATGTGTGCCTCCCACTGGATTTGGTAGAGGAGTTTTGCCTGTCAGCCTAAGGATGACTTTTGGTCACTTAAATGTCCAGCATGGATATGTGGTGCATCTGTAATGATGGTAGTGGTTCATACTATAAGCAAGAAAACAGATCCCTGTATCTGTGTAGAATATAGCCAACCTTGCACTTTAGAAATTTCCTATCTTGCAATTTCAGTACAAGATGGTTGTAAATATTCTTTCCTGTCATTTTAATTTTGTTGCACTGATTTCAGTACTGTGCTATTGGTAAGATTTTTATGGGAAACATTACTAAAATGTATTTTTAATTGTCTGTGTATAAAACAAACTCATGAAGCATATCTCTACCTTTAGTATTGGGGGAACATGAGAGGAGGCAGCAGTTCATCTGCCTTCCATGTCAGTTCAGAGAAATGAAAAGTTTCTGCCTTTTGGCTGAGCGATGATACATTTCTTACCATCCCTGTGTCTAGTATCTAAACTGAAGTTCCAGCATTAACATAAAGCCTGTTCATGCCTATTAATTATCCCTGAAAAAAAAAATCTGTCTCTAAAGACCATGCCAAATGATCATAGCAGCATAAGCTGCCTTTTTTTTTTTTCCTTTTGTTCCTGAACTGGCCCAGCTGAGTGAGGAATAAAGTACAGTGAGGATGGCTGGCATGGAAAAACCCTTGCAGTGGGTACCTGTCTCCAGATTTTGAGTGCAGTATAAAGGCCTTTCCACAATGATCATTGGTTTTGCTCAGATCTTTCCCCACTGGTCATGCTCTCAAATTCAGCAAATGTCACATGGTAACTGAGGGGGCCCTTGATTAACTTTTTATGTAGGAAGGCCTACTCCCTTTGGTGTTGGTGCCTTCACGGATTACAACCTTCTTGAAGCCACCCTGTACTCTGAATAATCAAACTTCAATGGAATCAGCTCTGATAAGATCGACCGAGCAGCCTTATTTTGTGAAGTCAGTCACCATGCAGTCTTAAGCTTCATAGTTTGAAAATTTGTATATAACCGCGAGTTTCAGAATACCATTTAAAATAAAAAATCTTAATGTACCAGTTTTTGTTTCATCATTTAAAATTTTAACTATAGTAGCAAGAAAAAGGGTCTATCCTGAATGTTACTTTCTCCAATTTAATGCAAATGTAATAATTATAGAGAATACTTTATTCTTGCAGTATGCCCAAAGGAGGACTTAAATGAGCAAGATACCTAGGTGAATTGGGTGCATATAGAAGTAGTAGCTACACTGAAGCACTTAAAGTCATGGGGTAGGAAGAGAGGAGATGGAATTTCTGAACTTGTGTTTAAAAAAAAAAAAAAAAATTCAGTATGATTTTGTATGCCCATACAAAATCCTAGTGCTTGCAAAGGTCTGTGACATTGTAAGGTATTCTATATACTATGTGAAGGGCTTATTTTGGAGGTGCAGATTGCTGGCCGCTTCGCTACGTTGCCAACAGGTGGCAAGTAGATTTGTAGGAAACATGTTTTTTCATTTTCAGAGGCATGGCTGGCTCTTTCAGTTTTTAGCGTAAATACACACTAATGCCTTTTAGCCTCTCACGCTTTAGCACAGTTTCTAGAAGAAAAAAAATAGTCCCTATCAGACTCTGATGTCTATTTCCTTCTGAAATAAATCTTTTTCCCTCAACAAGGTACACTGAAAAAACCTACAGAAAAGGTGTTTTTGTTCATGCATGTTGTGACTTCAGTAGAAGTATCTGTAACTGATTCTATAGTATTTTTTCTCCTTCCTAGTGATTTAAAGGATTTCAATTTCTATGTAGTCCTTAGAGAATAAGAATTGTTTGGCTGTCTAAAAGTATCTTCTACTTAGTTTTGATAATATGTTATTAGTGTAATATCATGTTATTAGTATTAAGTTAGTGTTACAGGAATATGAAGACTGAACCATTTTGAGTGTAGCATTGGGAATTTGACAATGTCCTGGATATCAACTTTAAGACAAACCTTCCTGCCCAATTTAGAAACTAAAATTTTTCTGCTTGTCAGACAAAAAAACAACCCTGTAATCAGATTCATCCATTCAACCAGGGAGCCAACCAAACAGGTTGTTACATTTGGAGAATGTTTTTAATTTTAGCATGTAGCTGCTGGACTGGATTTTTGTTTTCCTTTCCTCCATAAAGTAATCTTTTCAGTAGCAGTCTCTGCTAAAACA